CGCTTCTTTGGCGCTGCTTCGCCTTTGACGCCGGAGGCTTCGGGCTTGTCCGACGGCGGTGATTTTGGCAAGCTCTTCCCGCCGCCGTCATTGCGGCTCTTCGCGCCGCCGTCGTTGCGGCCTTCACTGCGCCCGCCGCCTTCGCTTCTTCTACCGCGACTGGTCCTTTCACCGTCGGTCTTCGACGTCGGCGCAGCAACAGACGCTTCTTCTAGACCGACGTACAGCTGGAAACCGGCCGAAAACTGCCGAAGCCAGTTCACAAAGCGAAATACATCGCTTTTCAAGCCCTTGTTTCGCTGAAGCTGTAACTGCTTCTGCACAGCACTCTTCAATGTTTCTGGTCGGATGGCACGCGCCATCACCTCGACGACGACCTTGCCTTCTTGGTGGAGCACCCATTCTTGGTGGTCGTGCTCCAACACGCGCATAAGGTCGTCTAGCATACGACCGACCCTGGACTCGGCGTCCAAAATCTTCAAGTCGAATCGGATAGCGGCCGTCAGCCGCTTCCTCAAGACGTCCAGATCTTGAGGATCTTCTTCGAACGCCGCGTGAAACCACGCGATCCACAGTGCTACTAGCACCACGGTACTAGACAGCTACCGTGGTTTGCAGTGGGTCAAACGATCGGGCGACCCAACTGCTCTGCAGCGCAGAACAGTTGGACGCGAGTTGTGTCACCCTATTCAACCCGCCGTTCCTTGGCGTCTCCCTTACAATGCCATCTACAAGGAGATTGCCACTGAACTTCGTGAATGGACACCACAGATCATTCCATGGGCGTGCGTTAACCCACCCCAACCGATCTGCAAGCACTCCATGCTCCGCACTCATGGCATCATGGAGGCAGTGCTCATGTACCTGATGCAATTTCGCCGCACTGTTGCAGCCACAACGCCGCTACAAGCCGACCTTTGGAACCGCGCCCAATACTGTGTTCTACCAGTGGGCTACAGTTTCCACCACTTGTAGAACTGTAGCCCATCCGAACTTCATGCAATACCCCTTCGATGGCTGCCTCGAAGTCGAAACATCTTAACGCGCCTTGATGGCTTGCCCCCGAGCCCAACCGCTCTGGGCAGCGATAGAGGCTCTATGGCAACTCTTTGGGCAGAATTTTTGTCGACCACAATTTAGGACATTGGCCGCGTAACTCCATCTCGGCGGTTTTGGAGGTGCATTTCTCGAGGACAGCATGAAAATGAATGGGTTGTGCGTGCATTGCAACCCACCAATGGTCAATCACCATTTTGACGAGGTTGGTGCCATCGCGGGTCAACCGACAGGAGATTTTCGTCTGTCGTCAACCATCACCTGCACGACTCTGGCGTAGGAGCCTTACGTCCACAAGTGTTTGTCAAGTTCGTTCAGGGGGTCATGGAGCTGTGGTGTGTGCGCAGCGTGAAACTGCAAGCTTGTTGAGCGCCTGCAGTGAAAGGCGCGTTGTCGAGCCGATTCTGTCGTACGAACGAACGAAAACTATATCCGGATAATTCCAGGAACATGTCTGTAATTGGCGAAATTCCTTCGTATCCGGAACCATCGGTTGGCGAACGGCCAATCAAAAGTATTGACTGCAGGGCAAGCGATTCAAGACATTGACTAGATAGCTGCATCCTGCGACAATGCGACAAGCAGATACCAACGACACATCTTGTGCTACATTTATGCCGACTGGCTTACGGCTGGAGCCACTCGGGCAGGTCCGACTATCATGCAATGTACTGCAACCTTTCGCAAACACGCACGGTCAGCACAAAATGCTTTCCATGCACCGCATGATGTTCAACTACACGCGAACTAGATTGCGTAGATCCATTATAACCGTCTCACTGGGTGATTACGCCACTTTGATGTTACAACCACGCCTGAAAGCTCGTCCGTCGCGCACGCTGCCAAAGCGATTGTCGTCGCCGCCGGCGCCCCAAGCTCCATGCTGCGTTAGGTATAGGTTGAATGAGGGCATGTACTGGCCACAAGCATGGTGGCCAAGAGCGTGTTATCGGACTTGAACATTCCGGCGGTGGCGGATCCCCCTTGCGTTGGCAACAACCTGCAGGACCGTCCTGTATTACAATGAATTTCTAGCTCGCCAGCCGCTCTCCAGCAACCTTACGTTCGTCACAGATCTTGCTCAGCATGTGGAGAACGTACTGAAAATGCGTAGGTCGGCGTGAAAGGAATTCGTATCGCAGAGGTCGGGGCGGCAGACGACGTCTGGGGTGGCGGCCGGGGTGCTTGTCGTGCCTCCTGGAAACACGGCCCCACAGCTCCAACTCACGTTCTTCCCTAAGGACACGGAGCCTCAGTGGAGGTTGGAGGAGGTGCCCCAAAGCCGAGTCGTCATCACGACCGCCCTCTTGGGTACGAACCAGTCTGGAACGAGGTACGAAGCGTTGTGTGCAAATGTGTGGGTGTGCACAGCCCCGAAAGCGAGAATCCGCGCCGTGGTCAAGTTAAGCGACGTCGACATCCCTGTGCAAGTCGAGCCAGTGATTCTTCAGGCCACCGACGAACACTAGGCGCGTCCAAGCTCGTCCATGGCATGCGGATGGTGTGCGAAATCGCCCAGGGCTTCGGTACTTCTTACTTTATGTCACGATGAACACTCCCTGACACGTGTGTGTAGCCATGCAAAGTGTCGTGGGCGACGAAGTCTCCCCCGGTGCAGCCTATTCGACCGGCGCAGGTTCAACGGCGCCCTTCTTTTCGTCCATTCATCTCGTGTTCACGGCATTGGTTGAGTGGGGTTCCAAGAATTTCGCACTGGGTCGGGAGCGCCAAAGTGAGCACGTCGTCCACGGATGGCGTTATAAACCAGCGGCATGAAGTGACCAGCATGTCGAGACTCGCCGAAGCATTCGTGACCCCAGTCAATCCAAACGGTAGGCAGACTCAGCGACGATGTGGCCAGGACAAGTTCATTTCACAGTCATCCAGGTAGAGAATTTTCTGCTCGACTTCAGTCGAACAAGTCGGGCAATCGAAGTCGCTGTCTTGGCGCTCCTGGCGCCCTGACGTTGGTATCTGTGACCTCGTCCAACACAGCTGCCTTCAACCCTACATTCGTTGGCTTGACGACGTCTTCTCGGCGAAGAACATCCCCGACTAGATGGGAGATGGACGTTCGTCGCTGGCGCTGCTTCTCTCGCATGATTGCATCCTCCTCTTCCTGAATCGCAGCCTCCCGCCGTGTCACCTCGAGCGCTGTTAGAACTGAGTGGCCTTGGCTCCGATCGCAGTCGAGCGGGGCCATGTGTGCATTCAAGAGCATACGCCGCCGATATGCTGTGATTAGGATCGGAAACGGCAGCGTCATGTCGCCTAGCTTGCCTTGCTGGAGGTCTAGCCACGGCATAGCTCACGCCAGCATCGTGCATGCATACCATGGCTGTACCTGCAAACAGTCGGACGACAGAATTCGCTTCTTCGTCTTCTGCGCCACCGTGGGTTGGGCTTTGTGCAGCAGTGTGGCTTGGTTGGCACGAATCGTCCGAGCCAGGGGACGGCGCTCCCGACGCAGCAGCTTTCGGCTTCGGGGCGCTCAACGGCGGCCGTGTCTTGGCCGCGACTTTCTTCTTTCCGCGCATCATGCTGAGAAACTCGTCAAAGTTGACTTCGCCGTTGTCGCTGTCGTCCACAGTTTGAATGAGTTGGCGCACATCGAGTCGGCACTTGGCCAGCCCCACCGATACAAGGGGATCTTCGAGCTCGTTGAGCCCGATCTCGCCAGACCCATCCGTGTCGAGGAACTCGAACCACCGCCGCATGAGCACCATCCTAGCTCGCTCGTCCTTCATGTTGCTGGGCTTTCCGTGCTTGATGAACCACCGATGATGCAGCCACAGAAGCTCCTTATTGTGATTCTTTGTCTCCGACTCGTCTTCGCGGGAGGGCTGGTCTGACATGTGGGGGGCTCGGGAAGGGGATGGCGACTCGGGAAGGGGCGGTCGGATGATACGTGGTGAGCGGCAGGTCGGGACAGGACGCGCTCGGGTGTCGATGATCGATGTAAGGGGTCGACTCTGCTGTTGCCGCGGTGACCTGGACGACAGAGTGATGGGGTGCAGCGGGGCCTTGGCGGCCGTCGACACAAACGGAATACAGATTCTTTGCAGCACTGGCGGCGAAGGTGGTAGACTGGTACGCGACTTCAGGCTGCGACGGTCTTGGTGTTGGGCACAGCGCTGCCGGCACAGGCGTGGCGATGTCGGCTCTCCTTCCAGGACGACCACTTGGTCCAGGATCGGGCAGTACTCGACCCTGACGGTCCCCCGCCGCATGTCATGGAATGTCGGACCACCCAGTCTAAGTTTAGCCACTCTCGGCCATGCCTTGATTCAATCGTACTGCGGGGTACACCCATCCCCATTGTCACTTCTTCCACAATGGCAGGTGCAGAACGGCCGAGCTTCCGTGAGCTGCGTCGCTGGACCACCGTACGGAGCCCTCCATGTTCTAGACGTCCATGCTTGGCTCCGTGCCCATTCCCCTCGAGACGAACCGCTTCTCAAGTGTAGACACGCAAGCTCGCTTTGTCCTCAAAAGGGAAAAATGCTGTTGTCGATCGAGTGCAATCGAGTGATTCAAACAATTAAAGGCATGTGGTGCATGGGGTGCTGACGCATCGTGCGACCCCATTGAACGGGCGACAAGCGAAGCGACGTGGAGTCTACTGTCGCTAGATCTACTGCGTGCGGGCCGTACTAGGTTACTTGGAGAATTCTTTGTTGGCCCACTTCATGGTGGCCGCCAGCGGTCGGCCAAAATGAGGAGCATTACACAGACTGGGGCTGCCCCACATGAATGGGCGACGTCCCGATGTCGACGTCGACTTCTTCATCGCCCAGTTCTTGGTCGATATCATCGATGTCGTTAAAGTCTTCATCTTGGAGGGCCGTGCCGCGGAAGATGCGGAGGCGGCGGTCAAACTCTGCGTCGCCGTCGCTGAGCGGATTCGGGTTGTCAAACGTGCAAAACCACGTGAGGGGGATCGACAGGATGCAGAAGAACGCAAACGCGCCAAATGTCGCGCCCAACTTGTCTTCGCCTGCACAACACACCATGTTTAGACGTGTGTGCGACGGTGGGCGGTACCTGACGTCGACGCAAAGCCATACGACCCAATCGCAGCCCCTAACTTGCCCATGGCGGCCGAGAATCCGTGGCATCGGGCCCGAATGGCCGTGGGAAACATTTCGGTCGGCAAGACAAACGTCGACGTGTTCGGGCCAAAATTTGAAAAGAAGAGAGCGAGCCCGTACAGCAGCACGAACGACTACCGAACAAGATCGGTCCGTGAGCGTCACACTCACGAGGAGAACAGGCGTCGTCCATACCGTCGTATCGCGCTTGAGGTCCTTCCACACTCCCGACAGGACGAGAAAGAGGATCGTCATGAAGACGAAGCCCTGCAGCTGCATCTTGCGGCGGCCGAGGCGGTTGATAAAGAAGACCGCGACATAATATCCAGGGAGAGCGACGCACGCGACCAACATGTTTTGAGTCGTCACGTCGGTGAGCGATGGTTCCGAGATGCCGACGACGGCCAGAATCGACGCGGAAAACAGGTTCTGCGCGTAAAACACAATGTCAAAGAGGAACCAGGTCCCGGCCGTCCCGAGGACCCATCGTCCATACACGTGCAGCACAAATCGCAGAGGAATCGTGGTCGCGACCGGCGTGTTGCTCGACGACTTGGTTTGGAGCTGCTGGACCTGCTGGAACGACATGGTCTCGTCGGCTCGATACCGAAAGTAAAAGACAAACGCGGCAGGAATGATTCCAATCCCGAGCAAACTGCGCCAGATAAAGTCGAGGTCGTCTTTGGATGCTGATCCACGCGGCCCAGGGGCAAATGCCGACACGTACAGGTTGCCCATGATGGCTGCCGTCAAGCTGCCGACGCCCTGCAGCGAAAACGTCAGTGCGACTCGTCGATTTCGCTCGACGACAGACGACGCGTCCTCGGCGGACGACGATGCGGCCAGCGGGTACTCGCCGCCGATACCGACGCCAAGAATGCCGCGCGCGACGATGAGGACCCAGAGCGTGCCTGTCGGGGACCCCCCCGACGCACACGCGCACATGACGCCACCAAGGATCAAAATCGCACACGTGATGATCATGTTGACGCGGCGCCCGAGCAGGTCGGCGAGGTAGCCGAAAATGATTTGGCCGACGACGGCTCCGATCAGCGCCGCGGCCGACACGGATCCCTTCATCGCGGGCGTGTACACGTCCTTTCCAAACTCTTCTTCGAGGACAACGTTGACTACGTTCATGACAAAGAGATCGTACGCATCGTTGAAGAACCCGAGGCCCCGCACGAGAAACTTGGTGTCCACGAGCATCTTGCCGTCGGGAGCGAAGTGGGCCGTTGTGTCGAAACCGTTGCGTCTAAATATAGCGTCGTCGTCGTCGTGTAAATCTCCCATCGGGTCTGCGTGGATTTGCCGATCACGTGGCTCGTTGTAGAGCGCCGAACGAATGCTCCTGTCGTTCGTGGATTGCCAGTCGTAAGCAATTGAATCGTCCAGCGCGACGTCGCACACTGGTAGGGCCACAACGGCACGTTGGCATGCATTTGATCGTACGGCACTCGCACAGTACCTGCGATCGTCTCTGCCAACCCAAACAGCGATCTCGTTGCGATGCGTTCACTTGCCCCGACATATGAGCACACGACGAGGTACAGAGGACGGGGTACGATGGCGGCGGGCGACTTGCAAAGACGCTGGCATGCCCTCGTTTGAAAGCCAGGCTGTTTCCTCGTTCGTCTCTCGACCAAGTCAAACAACGTGCGTCGACCGAGACATGCACGTGACGTGTGCGAATGTTTGATTCCTTGTCGAGGGTCTCCTGGAATACCGTGTGCATCCACCTCTATCTTGCACAGTCAACACGGACGTCCTCAGTGTGGTTGTCGGTGCCACAACAACGTGTTCAGTTGAAAAAACCGAGGGCGGGACGATGCACACGAGCGCTGGGCTCTTGCGCGTTGATGGTGGCCCACATCGTCGTGTTCGTTCGCACCATGGGGGCCGCGCTGACCCGCACGAATGTTGACGCCGGACCGTCCGGACCCCGTGCGAGTCGTTTGGCGCATTGACGTTGTGGAAGAATGGCAGCCCAGTCTGCAAGCTAGTGAACACGCATCGAAGCGCGCATGCTGTCAACGTTGAGCGCAGCCAGCGACAACGGCGTACGACGTGGAATCGACGACCGGCGCTGTGCAAACGACCCCTCGAGCCCTGCGATCTTGACGCCAGGTCACGGGCATTTCATGTTGACACGGTTAACATGCAAGGTCTTCTAGTGTGAGGTCGTTGTCGACCGCGTCCTTGCGACACAAGTCGTTCAGGACATGCATCGGAGCGACGACTCGTTCTCGTGCCACCGACGTCTGGACAAACGTCGGATTCAAGCACGGAAACGATTGCGTTGGCCGAGCCCATGCGTGCGATTTCGGCCGCGATGGACCGCAATCGGACACGGACATCGGTTTGACGTCGACCCAAAAGGCGGCAGGGGGCGGTCGCTTCGCGTCGTGGTGGCGCGGTGGGTTCAACACGGTGGCAGGACGCGTGGCATTCGGCTCGTGCCGCCGTCGTGACGACGGATGGGCCTGCTGCTGATAGTACACCTGCCATGACGAATACCAGTGCAACCACTTCCAGTAGTCGGCGGCGCGATCGGTGCCATGTCGGCGGTGCACTTTAGTGTGCGCTGGGGACGCGTCTCTCGGGTCTGGAGTTGAACTTGACGCGAGCTTTGGTTGCGTGGCGGAAGGTTGGACAGCGTTGGAGCACATTGGGTCGCGGTGCCGAGGGGCGGCGGCTTCTTCTCGCCGCACTTCCCCCGCTTCCTTTGTCGGCAACGCTACGTCATGACGCGCCGCCGACGGCACAGACGTCGATGGGCTGACCTGCAACACATCAAGGACGTTGCATTGCACGCCTTGCTCTGCAACAAGGGCGGCCGGAGTGTGCTGGCAAGCCGCGCCCTTGACATCCCGATCGGCAGCGTTCCTTGGACTCGGCAGAGATGCCTGCGACTCTTTGTCCTGCATTCGAGTCGGCTGACAGACGGGGCCCGGTCGAGCTGAAATCACTCGTTCTGGCGCAAGGGGGATGAACTCCGACGGCGGTCGCACTTGGTCCTGTGGCTGCTGCGTTATCGTCGTGCTCGCTAGCTTCACGGACGCAGTCGTGTCGAGAACAGCGTTGGGTGTTCGGGCCCATGCGAAGAGAAGGGGCGGGTTCTCGTACGACCCAGTGTGGATGTCGACGCCAGTGGACTTTCGCCCAGGTCGATCGCGATGCCGCCGCGGAACCACAGACGGCAAGCCGGCGGGGGTATCTTGGCGCCACATGGCAGAGAAACCGTTTAGGAAACGGCCACTTTTGCCGACAGCAGAAAATGGAGACGTGCCGCCGCATTCCACGGCGAATCCCAGTGCATGCGAGCACTTCTGCGTGGACGCTAGGTATCTCTGCACCTCGTGCCATCTCTATCCTCAGCGTCGACACGCACCAGCGCTGGCCACCAGCACTCCTCACCCATCTCGCTACAACATGAAGTCTTGCGCGCCGGCGCGCAGCTGGAGACGTTCGATCTTGAACATCGATGGGGGCGGAATGGCTGCGACTTCGTGCGTCATCCTTGTGCTTCGTGCTCGACGTGACCGTATCGTCCTACATCGGTCAAGCTCCGAGGAAAGCGCGCAGGACGAAGGAGCCGTTCCTTTCCTTGGATGAGAGGACATGTGGAGGATAAATTACAATAGATTACGTGTGGAATTTCGTCACAAAGAGCGAGCAGAACGCGCAGTTGCGGCAGTCGTCCATGTCGTGGGAAGACAAGTGGTCGATCCGCGTCGTGAGCCACGGATGCGCCGTGTCCGCAAGGTAATTGCCGCTCTCTGTGATCCACGGTGTCGGGTGCATTTCCTTGAGCATGCAGTTCCGTCGCCGTGTGCGCTCGAGAGTCGACAGACCGCCGATGTGGAAGCGGCGGCCGAGGGAAGCAGCACCGTGATCGGCTTCGTACTCCATCCACCACGAGAGGTAGATACCGCCCACGACAAGCGACCCGACACCGAGCAATGTCGCAACGAATTTGTTGGACACTTTCGTCGTCAGCGACGCGCTGGAGATCATCGCCATCGGCACAAACGATGACATGAGGAGCGAATGGTTCTTGGCAAGGTGTACGCATTCATGGGCAAGGATGAATTCGGCTTCTTCCTTCGACGGAATGTCTTCTTCTTCCTCGTCGTCGTCGTCCTCGTCGTCAAGGTGGAACCCTCTGTAGACAGTGTTCGAGATACACACGCTGCCACGACCAAACAAATTCGCGCCCAACGCTCCTCCGGTTTCTCCTTGCATGGAGACAAATACTTGAACGTTCTCGGGATGGGTCACTCCCGTGCGGAACGCAATCTCTCGTGTTGCATGGACGATCGGGTCGTTCTCGTCGAGGAGGATCGCGTCGTCGTTGCATCGCGGGTTGTATACAGGGTACACGGATGAAGCAAAGAGCGCCGTGGCGGCACCGGCAACCACGCGGCGATGCAGAATGGACGTCATGTCGGTCTCACGTGGATTGGGAAGTGCTGGAGCTTCTCCATCCGCCGCATCGTTTTTGCACGTGGCGGTTTCTCTGCGTCAAAATGCGAATTTTTGCACCAAAATGTCCGGATAATCCTCCAACTTCAACACGGCGGCGGAAGATTTTCCGGATCATCGACCCATTTGAGTCATGTTTCGGCCGTCTGGATGGCTGCAGCCGCTTTTTTAGTCATCCAGTGCTGACGCATTGCAGTTGTTGACGCAAGTGAGATTCTCAACGTACGGGCAAGGCACTTGTTCACTGGTGCGTTCGAAGACTTGATGGCCGTGCCAGCTCGCACGCCAGGACTGTAAAATCGACTGTTGTGTGGAGACGTTTTTCGCATAAAGCGTGTTTATCCGTGGAATTGTTACAATAGATTGGTGTTGTACGTATAAAACGTGGAAGAGATTAGCGTGCTTTTTCAGCAATTTTGCAGTTTTTCCTGCAATTGACGATCTGAAAATACGTTTAAACACTTGGAGATGTGCTGTAAAACTGTTACGAATCACAACATAGCCATAACACTGTTATAATTGCACCATGATAACATGAAGGATTCTGTTCTCGCCGTCCACATCGCTGGCTGGTTGTTTTTTTTAATAGCTTGAGATGTGTATATGCCGATCTATTTTATAAAAAAATTGTCCCATCATATGCCAAGATTGGGCTGCCGAGTCTCGCACGATGGCGAAGAGAGGTGACGACGACCAACTCGACCGTGAAATCGAGGCGGTGGCCGCGGAAGCAGCCAAGCCAGATCCTGGAAAGCTAAGGAAGAAATCAACGCCTCGCTTGCACCTTCCTGACGACATGAAGAACCATCATGCGGGCGGTGACGTGAACGCTGGGACGTTCACGCGTGTGCACCTTCGCGTCCGCGCGGAGACTCGATTCGGCGAGGAATTGCATTGCAGTGGCGCATCATACACAATGGGGCAGTACAAACCGAGCGAGAGCATTGAGCTCGTCACATCCCCCGAGGAGTATCCCGTGTGGCGCACCGTCAAGCCGCTCATTCTCCCACGCGGGATTGCCCACAAGTACATGTATGCGGTGTTTTCGGGTGGCATGTTTGCGAATTGGGAGCCCATTGACTGCGATCGCCACGTTGTTCCTCAGGGCCGTGATATGACCATCTCAGAAGACTATGGGACCTTTGACCTCAACAGCGTTCTCGTTCCATCAGCGTCGTCGTCGTCCGTGTTTGTTCGGGCCCCTGCGTCCACCGCGTCCTCGACGTCCAAAGCGTCATCTCCATCGCGACAACCAGCATCTGCAGACGCGCCTGTCTCGTCTCTCTCGCGCTCCAAGTCCCTCCAGCGCTTCCAACGCAACAAAGTCAAGCTCCAGCCGCGCACAGCATCTCGCGACACCCCGGCCGACTTTAAACCGTCGAACCCAGACTCGACGCTCTTCCTCGTGTGCTACCATCTGCCGATCGACATTGCAAAGGATCCCGTCACGGGCATCTGGACCGCCACGTGGAACAAAGACAGTCTCATTGCCAGATCCGAGAACAGCATCGCCGAATCCATGAAGGTGAAGTGGGTCGGGTGCATCACAACGGAAGTGTCGGTGTCGCCTCCAGGTGGAGGGCGTTCGACAGTGGTCCCCATGACGGACGCAGACATTGCCGCCATCACTGCAGTCTTGGCCGCCATGGACGCATTTGCTGTCTTCTTGCCGCCGACGCTCGCCCACCGTCATTATCAAGGGTACGTGCTATTTCCGCCTTGGTGTTTTTGATTGGTCGATGTTTTTTCATTGAATTATTCGGATTGGCGGATGATTTTTCACTATGTTTTGATTGGCGGACATTCGAAAATTGCCTTTTATTTGATGTGTTCGCGATGGCTCTCTTCCGCACGATTTTTACAGCGTTCGCTGGTGGATGGCGTGCGCAGCGACTGCTGGCTGCTATCTGTGCGGAGATGGCGAGACCGCTGGCCTGTTGCTTGGCGATGGAATGCGCCGCTTCTTCTTGACGTGCTGACGGGACGCCGTAGATATTGCAAGTCGAAGCTCTGGCCAATGTTTCACAACGTCGACATTCTAGACATTTACTCGAGCGTTTGGGAAGAAGATTTGCATCAAGCAAACCACGACCTGTGGTGGGAATCGTACACGGCGGTAAACTCGCAGCTCGCACACGCCGTCGCGGCGGCGGCAGCGCCGCACGACACTGTCTGGGCCCATGACTACCACCTCCTGCTCTTTCCCAAAGTCCTTCAGGACTACTTTGTCTCGGCCAACAAGCCCCGCCCTCACATGGTGTTCTTTCTCCACGTTCCGTTCCCGACGTCCGAGATCTTTCGCGAACTGAGCAATGGCCCGGCGCTGCTCGAGGGCGTCCTTGCCGTCGACGTCGTCGGGTTTCACACGTTTGACCATGCGCGGCACTTTTTGAATGCGTGCAAGCGCTTCCTCGGGTACGTCTTCTGTCCGTGATGGTGTCGTCGAAGCGTCGTATGCGGCAGCGACTTGGGCATGGCGTCGCTGTCCACCGCGGCTTGCCCTGCATGTTCTGCCGCCGACAGCATCGAGCTCATGCGAGTGCTTGTGTCGACCGGTTAGATTGACGTACCAAAGCCAGAGCGGGGTGAATTTGGGGGTCGATTACAAAGGGCGGAACGTCGTGATTGCGATCTCGCATGTCGGGATTGAAAAGAACTTGATTCAAGACGCCGTCCACTGGCCCGGCGTCGTTGCGGCCGCCACGGCCCTGCGGGCGAAACACAAAGGAAAACTGCTTTTGGCCGGCGTCGACGTGTGCCAGCGCCTGAGCGGCATCCCCCTCAAGCTTCTAGCGTTCGAGCAGTTCTTCAATCAGTGCCCTGCATGGAAGGACAAGCTCGCGCTTGTGCAGCGCGTGCACTTGACTGGTTCACGCCAAGGTGACGTTTTGTGTCCCTGTATTTGACTCATGGCATCTCTCCAGGCGACGAAGCATACAGCAGCCATGAGATCCAGCAACTCGTCCACCGCATCACGGCGTCCCACGGCGCAGACGTCATCGATTACGAGGAATCGACGAAGCCGCTTGCACTGGCCGATCGCCTCGCGCTGTGGCTCGCGTGCGACATTTTGATCGTGACGTCGATTCGAGGAGGGCTCAACCTCCACCCCCTCGAGTTTGTTTTTGCCAAGGGCGCATCCAAGGCGTCCGACATGCACGCCAAGGCGGGGGTCGTGCTGCTCAGTGAATTCTCTGCGTGCTGCTGCGTGCTCAACGGCGGGCTGCGTATCAACCCTTGGAACATCACGGAGGTCGGCATTCGATCGTCGGCACGTCGTTTACGACTCTGTAGGTTGTCAACTCTCTTGACCGTGCGATCAACATGAGCAACGACGAGCGCCTCGGTCGTCGGGCTCGCGACTTGCCATACATCACAAACCAACCGGCCAGCAACTGGACCAAGCAAGTGCTGTCGATTCTGCAGGAGAGCCTCGACATTGACGCGGACGAGCTGTCTGGGGCGCTGGACTTTCGCAAGCTCGACCCGATCAAGATCAAGCACGCGTACGATGCCAGCCGCCGCCGCGTGTTCTTGCTCGACTACGGCGGGACCTTGATCGCGCGGGAGAACATGCCCATGTACATGAAGAAGGACTTTACCGCTGTGTCAGGAAAGATCCCGACGCCGCGCATGCTCCAAGCGCTGCAGACGCTGTGTGCCGACCCGCGCAACTCGGTGTTTGTCGTGTCGGGTGTGTCGCAGGTCAACCTGACGCACGTGCTGGGGCACATTCCGTCGCTCGGGATCGCGGCCCACAACGGCGCGCTGTTTTCGTGGGCCAAGTCGATTCGATTTGGTACTCCCAACGAAGGTACGACGACGGCCTGGTCATTGGACTCTTGCGTCACACGGCGCCTGTAGACGTGCAAGGTAACGAAGGCGACCCTGCGCCCGAAGACGACACGTCGACCACCCGCGCGTGGTACCATCACCGCCTCGTCGAGTACGATTGGAGTCCGGTCCGCGAGCTCGTGGATCCGATCTTGCGCACGTACTGCTCTCGCACGAACGGGAGTGTGATTCGGTACATGGACCAAGGAATTGCATGGAACTTTCGAAGCTGCGACCCAGAGTGGGGCCATTTGCAGTCGACGTCGTTGCAAGCGGATTTGGAAGACGTGTTGAAGGACGTTCCGGTCGCGATCGTCCGAAAGAAAGGATTGCTTGAGATCGTGCCGGAGGGCCTGCACAAGGGCGTGGTCGCGCGCCACATTCTCACGTTGGACGCCGAGACCCACGGTGGCCACCCCGACTTTATCTTTAGCATTGGCGACGACACGACCGACGAAACCATGTTCAAAGCCATCTACGAACACTACGCCGAGCGCAGCGACGAAAGCATGCACGGCCGGCCCGACTCGACCCCAAGCCTTCACCACGTGTACACGTGCACGGTCGGGAAGAAGCCGTCGAACGCGCACTTGTTTGTCCACCACGTCGACGACGTCGAAGAGCTCCTGCATACTCTAAGCTCCCTTCCGTAGAGATATCCATCCATCGCGCACTCTCGCCTTCGTTTTCATAGCCGCGCAGCACCGACCGATGCGATCGTGCGGTCCTGGAGCCGACGTCCGTGTCGTAAGATTACTCAAACATTTCTCCGGCGCTTGTTTTTCCTCCTTCATATGGCAACCCCCACGGAATGCATGTCAACCACGGGTCGGGAATGTTTGTCTCTTGCACAGCCCCGAAGGATATCGGGTTGCTATAGAAACCGATGTTTGCGACTGTCGATATATAAATGACGGTAGAATTTTGTTGCAGCATCGAGCGGCTTCGGTGGATCGGGCCGGCATCGAATGGATCCCGGACGTCATTTCCGTATTCACCAGGATGGCATCACTTGTTAACACTTCGTACGACTACATCGTTGTCGGCGGCGGCTCCGGCGGGGTTTCGTCCGCCTCCCGTGCCGTCGAATACGGCGCCAAGGTGCTCGTGATCGAGCGAGGCCGGGTGAACGGCGGCGCCGGCATGGGCGGCACGTGCGTGAACGTAGGGTGCGTCCCCAAGAAGATCATGTACAACGCCGGCGTCCATGCTGAGATCTTGCACTCAGCCAAGGACTACTCGTTCAAAGACGTCGTGAACGTCAAGTTTGGTAGCTTCGACTGGGCCGCCATGAAGGCCAAGCGCGATGCGTACGTGAATTGGCTCTCCGCAGCCTACGAAGAAGGTCTCGGCGAAGAGAACATTGACCACGTGATCGGGGCGGCGGTGTTTGTGGACGACCACACGGTGGAGGTGAATGGCCAGCGCTACACGGCTCCACATATCCTGATCGCGGTCGGCGGCATGCCCCAAATGCCGAACATCCCTGGCATCGAGCACGCCGTGTCCTCGGACGGGTTCTTTGACCTCCCCACCCAGCCAAAGAAGGTCGCGGTCGTTGGCGCGGGGTACATTGCCGTCGAGTTGGCGGGCATTTTCAACGCGCTCAAGAGCGACACGGTCGTGTTTTGCCGAGGCAACCAGGTCCTGCGCAAGTTCGACCCGTTGGTCCGCGACCTCGTCAACGACGAGATGGCCAAGTGAGTGTCATGACCTGTTCAGTGACGTTCTTGACGGGTGGCTAGAGCTGGTGTCGCATTTGTGACGCACGCGCACCTGGAATCGATTCGAAAAGAGGCCGATGGGTCGCTCACGGTCGTGGCAAAAGTAGGCGAAGCAACCAACGAGTTTGCCGGATTCGACGCCATCGTGTCCGCTATCGGTCGTATTCCCCGCACGCAAGACGTCGGTCTCGACAAGACTCACGTCGAGCTCTCGGACGACGGCTTTGTCGTCGTCGATGCCCAGGAAAACACGACCGTCGATGGCGTGTATGCGATTGGAGACGTCACCACGACGGGGTGGGAGCTCACCCCCGTGGCGATTGCGGCGGGTCGCCGCCTCGCCGATCGATTGTTTGGGAAAGAGGTATGTGTCGCCTGCGGCGCGCGGCATCGATCTCATGCGTCGATATCACTAGACCAACGCGTGCATCCACTACCATCAAATTCCCACCGTTGTGTTCAGCCATCCCCCGATCGGAACCATCGGGCTGACCGAGCCCGACGCGATTGCCAAGTATGGCCGCGACAACGTCACTGTGTACACGTCGACGTTCTCCAACATGTTTTACGCGCTCGCAACCCACAGCGCGCACAAGCCGCAGACCGCTATGAAGCTCGTGTGCATTGGCGTGGAGGAGACTGTCATCGGAGCCCACGTTGCGGGCCTCGGCGCGGACGAAATGATCCAGGGCTTTGGTGTCGCCATCAAGCTCGGCGCGTACAAGTCGGACTTTGACAACGTCGTGGCGATCCACCCGACCGCTGCCGAGGAAATGGTGACGATGGCGCCATGGGGAAAGATCAAGGACCAGATCCAACGGCCGCACGGAACGGCGCGCGCGCCGCCCAAGTTGAAAGCCCCCGTGCCCGGCAAATTGTGACAGAACACTTGTCACTCGAGGAAACAAACACCGTTCGCCGGCTCGCGCTAGCCACGACGAGCTAGATACGTCACTCTTTAATCGTTTCAACTCGTCCAACCACCTCGAAACACCTTTCGTCGACGCCACTGGGGCGGCGCATGGTACAGCGTTAGAGTTTTGAATCGCTTGCTGGACCATCGTCTGGCAGGTGAAACACGAGCTGCTTGGGGAGACAGGTCAGGTCAAAGTCGCCACATGCAATCTCTTGGATCAAGTTGAACATGGTGTTCTCGAGCACCGTTGCCGTGAGCCGCTTGACATGGTCGTGACGGCGCAGTCGTTCGAACGTCCGCATCGCTTTGGGCAGTCGTGCTGTGGACGTGAGCTGGACGAATGCGGGCGTCGGCGGTTCCTTTGGCAGCTCCGCCATCGCCTGCAATCGCATGACAACACACGTCACACGAGGTCGACGGTTTTCTACCTCTGTCACGGCGCCCGCGTTCAGCACGTCCACCAGCAAGTGGCCCAACACGCCTTCCAGCACATGTCGGCTCTCCTTGGCAGCTCTGGGGTCCTGGTAGCCCCACGTGGACCGCATCGTGGCCAGGGCATCGACCCACACGAAATCTTGTGTCGGCAGCGCATGCCTCCGGAACGTATCCACGTGGACGTGAGTCCGAAAAAACTCGAGGGGGACGACATGGGCGAAGACGTGGAGGAATACGGGCACGGGGGGAGTCGACATGGGGCCGTCGTCGTTGGCGAGGGCACCAGGGAGGCGCCACTTTTGCTTTTTCGAGTTGCTGCTACCTTTGTGGAGCCGCTTCTACACGACATAGGTGGCGTCAACGAGTTCCACAAAGTCGGGTGCTTACAGCCTCGGGCTTTGGCTCGCCATCGCTGGTGGCCATGGCCGACGTGGCAGCGGCAGTATCGGTCGATCGGTTGACGTGAGATCGCGACGATACCGTGGACCGAGTAATCACGGAGGGCCGCGTGGCGCTGCTGTCAGGCGTCTTGTTCGTCGACGCTTGATGATCCAGCGACGAGCTGAGTGTGCTCGACGCCGCCAGCGACGACAACGTGGTGAGGGTGGACGTTGGGGCGGTCGCCGTGTCGCGGACGACCCGTATCCAGCACGCAAAGTCGTGGTCGATCACGCGAAGTTCGTCTTGCGGCTGGACAAGCACGCGGACGAAGACGTGCTGAAGGGGAAGGAGCTGGCCTTGGCTCGGTACACACCGCACGCGCTTGGACGCGACGAGTGGATGGGCTTCATCCCATGCAAAACCGAGCGTCGCCGTCGAACTCACGTTGGTCAAGACCACGACGCGGCAATTGTCGGTGCGGACGCAAACGAGGCCAAAGTCGACGCGGTCGTGGCTTAAAACCGCGGTCGATGGCACGTGCAGGAGCTGCGTGGATGGCGGTCCGCGTGCCGTCGCGAGCGCGTGCATGTCGGCAAACGTGGCCGGGGCGTGATACCCCCTCGCGACGACCGTGATCGTCTTGGAGTCTTCGTACTCGTTCGTGTCGACGCTCGTTGCCAACAGGCGCAGGTCGGCCGTGTACGTTTTGTTCTCGAGGGGGCAGAAATCCACGTCGATGTACCCCGTTGCGTGCGCAGGGATGATCACGTGCGGCGTGAGGCATTCAAGCACGGGAAAGTTAAACTGGTGCGCGTTCAAGAGGCTCCAGGCGCTGTCGTCGACGTCGATTTGAACGGGGCGGTCGCCCGTGTTGACGACTGGGATTTGTTGGACGGACGGTTTGTCAAAGCGGTGCGTCTTGCGCATGCACTGGCCGACCATGACAGGGTGCAGCGTTGAGACGCATGACGGCAGGAACACGTGCGGCGTCGATGGCGCGAGCGTTCGGCCGTGGAGGACGAGTGTGAGTTTTTTTCCCTGGGCCACATTGAGTGTGACGGGGACGTCGTGGATGCCGCGATATTGCATGGACGAGTACGTGTACGAGAGACAGAGGACGAGTGTTTCGTGGGGCTGCAAGATGCCCGTTCGAGGCGCGATCGAAAACAGTTTGGAGTCGACCAGGATGTTTTGGCGCAGCTCGTCCGATGTGGGCTCGCCTTGGTCGGCCCACGGCTCCAACTCGACGTCGCTCTCGTTAGGATAAAAGATGCGGTACGACACAACAAGGGACCCGGGGTTGCGCAACTGAACGTGCACGACTTGGGACGGCGACCCGACCACGGCGGGCGTGAAATGGACGTGATAGCTCGGCAGCATGGTCAAGTCGGGGCTACTGTCCGCGTTCAACTGGAGCTCGTCCTTGGTCAATGGCGTCATCAAGAACGAGTTGATGGCTGGCACGTCGAGTTGCATCCATGCAGTCGCTGTCGACGTCTGCCGTGTCCGAACGTCCTCGATGACCAGCGTTGGAAACGACGCCGTGGCATTCACCGCCATCTTGACGCATTTCTCGGGCGCCACGGTGTACGCCATATCGACCGTCGACACGGCGCACGCAATGTCGTAGCGGAACGCGCCCGCCAAGTCGGCGCGGAACGTGATCTCGAGCGCTTGGTGCGACCGCGCGCCAAGGATGCCCCGTGGTTTGGAGAACGAAATGTACGTGGTCGCGTCGTCAGTTGGTTGCTGCGGCGCAGTGGACGAAGCAGGGGGTGGCCGGCAGTGCACGCTGATCTCGTACTTTAAGTCGCAGTCGCTCGAGTTGACGACGTCGAATGGCATGGTTGTGGGCGAGTTGACGAGGACTGTGGGGAGGGTGAGCATCGCCGGGACGAACGAGACCGCGCCCGTCGTGCCCACACCGAGCAGCTTGACCGACGCCTCTTGGATGAGCCCTGTCGAGCCTCCACCATTGCTGCCACGACCGCCGACACTCGATTTCACGTACTCCTCGAGCCCCATCGATATCGACTTGACGTGGACAGCGATGCGCTGGTTGTACTGTTTGAGCTGCGTTGGCGAAAACACACACGTGATCGCGTGCCGCTCGTTGCCCATGAGGCGGTGCACGAGCGGGGCGACGTGAAATGTCGACCGCAGCGCAGGCGGCACGTGCCACCGAAACACGAGCGGCACCCGCGACACGTTGTGAACGTAAAATTGCCTCGTCGTCGTGAGCCCGACGGCGGTCGGTTTGATGTAAATGGCGTCGATGGCGGTGTCGTTGTCGACGCACGTGAGCTGGGGGCGGCACCCCATGCCCGTCAAGTCGACGACGACGTCGCTCACGTAGTTGACGACCGTCTTGAGCCGGTGGACGTACCGTCGGGGGTGCGTGGGGGTAAATCGAATCTGGACGAGGTGGAACCCGTTGGCCGGGATGAGCCCGCTCGCGGGGTGGACCCAAAACACCCTCGACGGGTCCTGCACGACCGAAAACAGCGCGGGCGTGTCGCTCGCGTTCGACAGCGCCACGGTTTGAAACACCGAGTCGCCAACGTGCGCCGGCGGGAATGGGCACACGTGGTCTTTTGCCGTCACAAACGTCACTTTGGACAGAAACTGGCTGTCGCTTGACCCGAACGAGTGGCCACTCGCGTAAACGACGACGCACCACGGCGGCGTAAATGTTTCGGGGTTCACCAACCGGAACGTTCGATTCGACTTGAAGTACACGTGGCTCTCGAGCTCGGCAAAGTAGTACGCGTTGGCATGGCACGGGTCAAATGTGACGATAAACTCGACCGACGCGCCAGGCGCGACGTCGCACGCGCCTGGCGAGATGCGAAAGTTGCTCCGCAGCGCGGCGGCTCCGGTCGTTTCCGACACGCGCCACGAACACGTGACCTTGCCGCGGGTTTGGTTGGTCACGACCAGCGTCTTTTTCGCGCCGTGCGACCCAAACTCGAGCAGCGACTCGGACACTGTGATCGCATTGCTGCGGCTCGTCGCGGGGACGAAGAATTCGTCCGAAATGCTCACGTCCGTCAGCGTCGACTCGCCGCTGCGAGTGAGTAATTTGGGACTGTCCGCCGGCTTGGCCGCCGCCGTGCGCAGGGCTCCATGGAGAAAGTATGTGTCGCCCTTCTCTTCCAGCAGTGCTTCGAGGCCGTCGGGCGACAGGTGGCCCCTGAACAAACGTGCGGTTGACTCGGACAGCTCGTCGCAGGACACCTTACCAGTGATGCTGGCACCGCAGCCGATACGCGTCGACATGGGCCTGCTGAAATGGCGACGGTCGGATGTCGTTGTCGAACCCCGTGCCCAAAATGTCGACGTAGATCGTCGATTGATTCTGGACCAGAATGAACAGGCGGCGGTAAAAGTTGCCGGGACTTTCCGGCCGAAATGTGAGCATGACGGACGTCTCGAGCAGCGGCGGGACGATCCCCGTGACCTTTTCGATTTGAAACACGCCATTTGGAGCTGCCATAAAGTTGTATCGGACCGCCACGTTCGACTCGTTCTTGAGAATGAGCACCCGCGTCGATATCGCGCCGACCTGGACGTCTTTAAAGTTGATCGATGTGGCCCTACGACAAAGAGGACAGACAAGTGAGCAGCGACGCACTCTCTCCTGCTCGACGCAGTCGACGGCCACCGACTTGCTAAACGTGCATTTCGCCCAAACGTGCCACCGACGGAACCGTTCACGCGGCGTACCTGATCAAGTTGGACGCGAGGTTCTTCTTCCACAATGACACGAGCGGCCCGATAGCCTTCCCTCGGCATGTCACGCGGACGGTGTGGCCGCCGGGGGTTTGAATTTTGAACGTATCGCACGTAAACGTTCCAGGACTCAACGGCGTGTACTTGACCGTGATAGGAACGGATGCTTCCGGCGGGATCACACCTCGAAGCGGCGAAAAAAAGAAGAGCGGCTCATGGTCGTTCTCGACTGGGACGATCTACACATGTCCTCAACGCACGTGAAAACTCTTGCTCGAGAAGCGTCGTGTATATACCTGGAACGTGGCGCGGACAAGCGACCGATTCCGCAGCACAAACTCCTTGTCGGTCGGGTGTTTCGGCGTCGAGCTGCCGCCGACGAGCATCTCGTCAAAGTCCAACTCGCTCTCGGAAGCGGCAAAGTACGCATATTTGCCGATGCCGCTGATCTTCATCGTCTTTTCCTGGCGTTGGTTGGTCTCGCCCCGTTCCTGGACGATCGTCGGTGTGATGGCGAGAAAGACGGAGAGATGGCGCACCTGGGCAACGAAGTTGACGGTCACGACGTACACGGACGCAGTGTGGGGTAAGAAGGTCGCGGTCATGTCGAGGGTCTGGCCGGCGCGGATTTCACCCGACGCGGGCATGATGGAGAACGGACGGCCGTGGTTGCCCGCGCCTAGGTCGATCCGTTGGTCGTGAACGGCGAGCGCATGTGGTCGTACCTGGTAGCGTCCACTGAAAGGTGCCGTCAATTTGACCGGTCGACTTGAGTGAAAACTTGAACTCGGTGGTTTCTGCGGTCGGGCAAAAGCCAAAGTCAATCCCGGTCGGAATGTCCGTGTTGAGCATCGAGATGCGCGCCTTCACGGGAAGGCGGAACGATCCGCTCGTGGCTTTGACGCCACCATCGATGATGTGCACAAGGAATCGGATATAGTCGTCGTACTCTTCGTACTGGACCGGCCGGAACGCGATGTCGAGGATGCGGCTCGTGCCCGGACTGAGTGTGATGAGTAGGGGGAATTCCATGGAAAAGTATTTTGTGCGCGGCAGGTCGTACTTGAGCTTGAGTGTGCGGTTCGACACGTTCTTCACGTGGAGCTTCTTGGTGTGTTCGCCGCCGGGCGCCCATGCTCCTGCCGCAAACAGGATCTCGTCGCCGCAATCGATGCCAAAGTTACGCTGCTGTTCGACGCGATTCAGGACAGGGCATGCCACGTCGTCGTCAACGGCGGCTGGCATGTTACGACGTAGCTGTGGGTGTCGACCGCGGACGTCCGGCGGTGGCGTCGCTTTGCGTGGACGAATGCGTAACCGTTATGACAAGGGTTTGTATGCATATACACAAATCAAGATAAAGCAAGGCAGCGAACAGTCGCGACCGTTTCACTTGGACTCAACTGCCGACGTCGTCGACGAATGCGCCACCGCCGTGAGCTGCGTGCCCAGGGCGGAGCGACCAGCAGAACACAGACGGATTGTGCTGTCGTTGAGTGACACCTGGCCCATCGGCGGCCTCGCTGACGGGTTGCCGGGGAAGGTAGACTTTGTTAAGTGCATGGTAGGGTTGTTTGCAGCCCGGCAGGGCAACCTGGATCTCGGGACGGTATCCAGAGCTGACGTGGCTTTGTTTAAAGTGGCAAACGGTGTGCGGGCAATCGCAACGAGTTGTCTTCAGCCGCTTGACAATGTGACGCTCCGCTTGCCCACCACCACCGTGTCCAATGTGAGCAGAAGTTGCAAAACATACCTCTTGGCCTTCTTCGCCGCTTCCACCACCTACGTGACGCCAAAGATTTCCTTTAGGAAATCCAGCCAGCTTGGCAAGATAGAATAAATTTGATCAACCAGACTCTCCAGGTTGCCGTACTGACTGCTGTACAAGACGGACTGATCGAACACCATTGCGTTTGAGGAGAATATTTTGCCACACCAGTTTTGCTGACGAACACACCGGTTTTGCTGACGCACACACCAGCTTTGCAAAACTGGTGTGACAAGAATCACGACTCCATCGCGTTTTGGGGAACGACCACAATGGCTTTGCGACGGACTTCCGTCACGTCTTGGTTGTTGATCTCGAATGGCCACACACATGGAGGATTCAGTGGATGGGCTACAAGGCAGGAGTTCTTTCTTGGCCTTTGTCAAGTCGTAAGGGCGGAATACCTATCATGATACGGTCGTCTTTCCGCCCCCCGCTTCCCCCACAATTGCCGTGGTCGTTTTTACTCGCCAGATAATGTTGACCCAATGTCCGAGCATGGTTTCGATCGAGCATGGCGGTGCAGAAAGGAGTGACCATTTGGACATTCGTCAACCCACAACTATTGCTTTGATCGGAATAGTCGAATGACGCGTTGTGGAATCGAATGTGTACTTGTCGCGGTGGGCTTTGTAGTCCAGCGATAGCGTCGGGGCGTTCGGTGGATCGACGATGCCAGGGCCGAGGTTGGAGATTTCGTCGAGCATTTTCATGTCCACACTGGGAATCACGCCGCGGTTTGTGTCAGGTCATCGTCATCGGGGGCGATAGAGGCCGACGTTCATTTTCATGTGCGACCCGAGAACGTATTGCGGCGCAACAGACAGGAATTGCATCAACATCGACGCCCACCTCCACCGAATGAGGAGGGGAATCGAGATGGCCAAGCACACCAAGGGCGTCGCATGGATAATCATGGTTTCGCTAATGCAGTCGTTGATCGATTCAAGAGTCTAAGTGGCGCCTGTTGCTACCACAGCCTCTCGTCAACACTAAAACCATACTACATCCCTATGCAGAAGCACGAACGAGGAGAAGTATCCAGGCGTGTGTGATGGGCGCCGCACGGTTTCCAGGCCGTCGTCACCAAGTACAAAAACCTGTGCGACACGACGTTGTTGACGGGCGCGGCGCCGTGGTCATCCATCGCAGCACGTCGCGATATTTCCAACGCGCGGAAAGAGACATGGGGCGAAAGACGGGCTCCATTTTTCAAATGCCAATCCACGGGCAATGCATGCAAATGCCGTGGCGATATGAGCTGACTTTGAGGTATACCACGCTCTTGAGCTCGTCCAAGACCTGGCAGGCCAAGATGCTGGCGGTGGACAGAGCCACTGCACACAACGCGACCGTGTAAACTTTCTCGATCCACGCGTTTGTCGTGCTCGCCATAAACATCACAAGTTGATCCCCGTGGTGAGGAAGCAGTAGGTGCTCACTGCATGGACGTTGTTGTTCAGGCCATAGGGCCAGAAGTACGTGCGCAGCCCCACGAACATCTTGACGTGCGGAATACCTTCCGTTCGGCGGCCGACGTACTCTGCGTCACTTCAAGATTCTGGCCTTGCGTATCGCTCACCGTGTTGTCGGGCACAGGTGAAGGCATCCTCTACCGCCCTCGAACTGACAAGAGCAGCGAGAGAGCGATCGACGTCGTTGGTCCAGTGCCTGCTCAGCCAGCCACTGCATCACGTCGTCAATTCCATCGTGAACGGAATGTTGGGACCATGCAGGATGCCGCGAGGTAGACGTTCACTGCGCCACCCCCTTGCCGGACGTGCAACAGCCCACGAGACCGGACATTTGGACAACAGTTGTGTGCAAGAGAGGTCGTGGCCGATTGTCTGGCGCCGTAAAATGGCCCCTTTGCTGGCCTCGTTGGGAGGAGGCCGAGGAAGGCAGCTTTGTGCACATGTCTGCCGCAATGGAACTACGTATGGAGGACACAGGGCTGTGGCGGCACGACATTGTGGTGGCCGGCAAGTTCACGGCGACGTACGAATACGCATGGCGAATGGAGGCATTGACCACTGGTGCACAAAGGGAGCCGCACGTTTTGTTGTTAGCTTGTGGCGACCCACGGGGACCACCGCACGACTCAAGTGAACTTGGGAAGACAGGACCAGTGTTACAGCGATTTTGTCCATTCAAGTAGAGCTACCACAATGAAAAGTTCAATTTGTCCTGTGGCCTCGAACGTACGGGATTGTCAGCGCTAGTCCACAAAGGTGGACAACACGCGGCGGGTGCTGACCGGCATGGGCGACTTCCGACATATCCAAGCCAGGGAAGAATACTCGAACGAACTGAGGAACGACACTATCAAAGCGGCTGTGACGTATCCCAGGCTGTGGCTTTTGTCCCATCGGTCCTACCGAGGATGCAGCACTTTTTGTATCGTGAGAACGATCTCAATGTGTACACCATGGACCAACCGGTGTGCATTGCGAGCATGAGCCTGACGTACCTCGCCCACTTGGTGAAGAAGGCGAATTCGGCCAGACGTGGTCTCCAAACTCGCTGACCGTGGGGTTTGGCAGCATCAACTGCGGCCTTTCGTCGTTTGCTTTGCTTGTGGACAACATTCAAAACATCTACAAGCTCCTCCAACTCTCTAGAACGGTGTAGCCCGCCTTGTTGCTGCGATTTGCCAGCAACGCATGCCCACCTGAGCTAGTGCAATGTGACTAGCTTGTCAATTGTGTCAGAGTTTTGTGCCTAGGCGTCACTGCATTGTGGGCTCATCATTGGAACCAATACAAGGGCCAACTAGACGCCATGCACAGGGGCTACACTGCTCGCGCTTGCTTGACCAACGATGGATATGATGGATGCTGGCCGATCCAGTGCGATTCCAGAAAGGTTGAACGACCTCGGTGCACCGTCGAGGATGCCGCAGGGTCCACCAGAGCCCGAAGGTCCTGTCCACCTCTCGTTCCAGTCTGTTGGCCGTCTGAAGGGTGGCGAACTCGTCACACTGTGGCTAGCCGCATCCATCGACCTGTGGCGACGGCGTCTCCACGGTCGAGCAGCTCGGCTTCGTTTACAGCAAATATTTTTGCGAATTGTTGAGAATTTGAGAAATATCAGAGTATTTGTTTGAACCGCGGTGAAATATCTGTGGGGAGCGACCGAGTTTATTAGTGGGGGCGGGTATATATATAAAACAGACAGAACATTTTATTCGAACGAAGCCAGTTTTCATGTACATGTGCTGCGGCATTTATTTATATTTGAGACGGAATTTTTATGCACTTGTTCCAATAATATCAGCCGCAGCTTTCAAATACAGGTCAGTCCGTCGACGTGAGATCAACCGGTGACATGATGGACACCGGACCGACGTATGTGAGGGAAAACACACCGCTCCTCAGTGCGTCGATGCGCGCGGACGAAGACCGGTACTACATGGGCCAGGACAAGCGTGCCTTGCTGAACACGGCAGAGAGCGGTCTATCCACGGTGGAAGCGGCGCGGCGGCTCAAGCAGTTTGGACCGAACGAACTTGTGGATCCATCGCACAAGGTTACACTCGGGGTGAAGTTCCTTCGACAGTTTAGCACGCCCACCGCTGTGTTGCTTTGGATTGCCATCGCGGCAGAGATGGCGATGTCTGATGTCCCGGATCTCGCTGGCATCATGTTCCTTCAGCTCGTGACAGGGGTTGTCGGCTGGTTCGAAACGCTCAAGGCCGAGAACGCGGCGACTGCCTTGAAAGCATCACTGAAGCCAGAGGCTCAAGTGATTCGAGATGGAGTGCACCAGACGATTAATGCTTCTCTTCTCGTGCCCGGAGACCGAGTCACATTGTCGAGCGGATGTGCGGTGCCTGCTGACTGCGACCTCTGCGACCAAGGCGGCAACCACATTCTTGTCGACGAAGCCATGTTTACGGGGGAGACGTTTCCGTCCATGTTGGGTGCTGGCGACACCGTGAAAATGGGTACCCTCGTCACGCAGGGAGACACGGTTGAAGCCATCGTGTCGGGCACCGGAAGCCAGACCTTCCTCGGCCGCGTACACGCATCCATGCCGGCTACATACAAGCAAGAAGCCGGCATGTTGCACCCGATGCTGGTCGAAATCACCCTAGTCTTCACTGCGCTGGCGCTTGTCCTCGTCGGCGTGTGCGGTGGCAATTTGTTGCTTCATGGACACCCCGTCTTGGACTCGATCGGGATCAGCGTGCTTCTCTTTTTGCTGGCCGTCCCCTTGAGCTCGTCGCAAGTCGTGTCGTCATCTCTGGCCATCGGGTCGCGGCACCTCTCGGAGGCCAAGGTGCTGGTCACGCACATAACAGCTATCGAGCGGCTAGCGTCGTTGTCGCTGCTGTACGTGGACAAGACGGGATCGCTCACTCGCAACAAGATGGAGCTGCAGGACGAGCTCCCAATCTTCGCGCCGCACACGACGCGTGAAGATGTGCTGGTGATGGCGGCGTTGGCGGCCAAGTGGAAGGAACCACCGAAAGACGCGATCGACGCGCTCGTCCTGAATGCGATCGACCTGCGACCTCTCGACGCGTATACGTTGGTGGCGCATCGCCCACTGGACAACACCAAGCGCACCGAATCGACGGTGCAGCGTCCTGGACCGCACAACCACTCGTCACCACTTCGCCAACTCCACGGCACCGGCAACCAGTCATCCCATGGCGCCAAGAACGGCACGACGACGTTCAAGGTCACCAAGGGAGCCCCGCATGTGTTGTTGGCGCTGTGTTCGAACGGTGATGCGATCCGCGAAGCTGTCACGTCCAAAGTGCTCGAACTGGCCAAGCGCGGGCTCCGTTCGATTGCTGTCGCGCGCACCAGCACCATCTCTCACGTTGACGCCCTGGATGATGCGTCGAATCCAGGTGGAGTTCACGGCGGATGGACGTTTCTCGGCCTGATAACGTTCATCGACCCACCGCGCCACGACACCAAGCGTACTCTCGAGCTTCTCCACGAACACCACGTTTCGGTCAAGATGATCACGGGGGACACGGCTGCCCTTGCTGCCGAGAGCTGCCGCCAGCTGCACCTTGGTCCTGTCGTGCTGACCCCACCGCAGTACCTTGAGCACCCCGAATACGTGGAAGCGGCGGATGGGTTTGGGGGCATGGACGGCCCGGCCAAGGTCAAGCTGGTCCAATTGAGCCAAGCGGATGGACATGTGGTTGGTATCACGGGCCTCACGGACACGGCCTCGCTTCGTCAAGCAAATGTCGGGATCGCCGTTGATGGCGCAACAGACGCCGCCAAGGCCGCCGCAGACGTTGTGCTGTCCAAGGCTGGGCTGTCGGTGCTGCTCCACGGCATCGTGTTGGCTCGTCAAGTGTGCCGCCGAATCCTGACGCACGTGACGTATCGCGTCGCGTCGGCGGTGCACATTTTGGCATTTTTCGTTGTGGCCATGGTGTTGCTGGTGCCTCCGACGGCGGTGGCAGGACCCCGTTCTCCAGACTCGACCGCGGACAAGACGCAGTGGCCTCGCGTGTTTGCTCTGCCTGTCATCGCGTTGGTACTGCTGAGTCTATTCAACGACGGCTTGCTCGCGTCGGTGGCCCCGGTGGACACGGTCGTTGCGTCCCTCCACTCACCGACGTGGCATCCGCGGCGATTTGCGGTTCACGTCGGGTCGATTGCGTTTGTGAGCACTTGCGCGTCGACGTTGTGGCTGACGTGGCTCTTGAATGCGGCAGCTGTGGACGGCACACCGACCATCCTGCGACGCGTCGGCCTGGTCGACTCGCTTTCGTATGGCCAAGTCCAAATGGCCGTGTACCTTCACTTAGCCCTGTCGGACGTGGGCTTGTTCTACTCAGCCCGAGCAGGGAACGGTGCGCTGGCATGTCTGGACTGTCCTGGAAAGAGCCTCGGCCTAGCGACTGCGCTTGCCGCGTCGTCGGCGACGCTGTTGGCGCTCTTCTGGCCGTTCCAGACCATGCAGCGCGTGTCGGAGGGCGTGGTGCTTGCCACGTGGGTGTTTGCTCTGATTGGGTTTGCCGTCCAAGAGCTGTTCAAGGTGGCGGCGATGGCGTGCATGGAACGTGTGATGCCTGTGGCCGACAACTCGGCCGAATGGCATCGTCGCAACCGTCTCGTGCTCCACCAGGACCCGAACCAAGCTCGCCGGGGAGACGGACATCCCTCGCTCAGTCTGGACACTGCCGTCGACCGGTTGGCGCGATTGGATATCGAACTCAAAGCACTTCGATCGGTGCTGCATGCTGCGTCGGCTAGTACACATTGACTGACGCCTTTGTAATTGAAGTTGTCCAGGAGTTTGTACTCGCGATCTGTTGCCGATCGAACGGAGAGCCAAGTTGTGTTTGGAGCGCCACGGACGTGTACAACTGTGCTGCATGCAGCCCGTGGGGCCTCGAACCCGTCGCTGCACTTGGTCACATCGCCACGTTGCGACTGCAAACCCATCAAACGATGCACACCCCACCTCTGGCCAACAAACTGCCGTCTGCATGTACGTCGATAGTGTACACGTTAGCACCGTGCTCTGTCCAGCGAGAACTGGGGAAGCAGAGGGCAGCGATGCCGTCAAGCACAGACTGGATTCTATCGCCTCAGCGATGGTGTCTTGCAGGCTTCGATCGAGAGCCCTACAGAGGACAAAGGAATCGTCAGCCAAAGTCTGTAGTCGGGCTTTTCCACAGTGAATTGTAGAAGGTAGGGCATGCGTCGGAGCTACTACTCGAGGGCAAGAACGGAAGAGCACGTCCACTGACTCAAGATAGTGTGGCTCGAGAACGTCGTGCCAAGGGACCGAAAGGTCTTCGGCAAGTTGCAGCACTGGACGCTCCAACGACGACCATTGTAACCCAAACATGTATTCGTGGCGTGATGACGGCCCCATGGTTGCCGCAGAGCTCGGCGAGGTTTTGTTCCAGCACGGCAATCTCATTCTCGTCTTTGACGGCGGGGGGAGCTCGGCTACGAGTGGTTGGACGGGCTGTTGTTGGCGACACCAAGCGCTCGCGCCGCGTTGGTGCGACCCCAGCCGTACCTGTTGTTGGGGTACCCGGTGTCCAAGAGGCCTCCGCAGTTTTTCCTCTCGGGCGTCAACCGACGGTCAAGGTTATGCCGCGGTACACATCGGCGTACGTCGCGCCTTTGTTGTTGTGGCTGAATAAAAGCGCAATGCCCCTGTGACGTGAGGAGTTGCCGCAAACGTGCCCGAGATGGTCTTGTACGCCAAGTTATCCCTCTTTGCAGGGGGTCGGGACGCTTCAAAAACTGGAGCTCAGGCCATTATGAATAAACTTGCTGATGGGAGCAAGAGAAAATGTCCCTGCGGGACTGGTAGAGTATTGGCAGGCCGCGCCGTGGGCACGACGCGGGACGAGGGGGCTCTATCTACTTCATCTTGCGATGCTAGACCGTCCCTGCGTTACAGCTCGCCGACTGCGAGTCCGACTGAGCCAGCTAGAAAATTTACTTGCAAAGTCTGTGGAGGGTCCCAAGAGAAACCTGTCTGGACGTCATGTACGACCACCACGACAAAGAATGAATGGAAGGCACTTGCATTGTCATCTCTGTGCTAGGGTGTATATTCGTCGTCATCGCTCAGCGTCATGGACATTCAAGCCGCCTTCTTCATGTACGCCACTGAGACCAAGACCAAGAACGATAGGACAACGGCAATGGCAAAGTAAGTGCAAAGGATGTCAAAGATGCAGCCTACGACGGTGACGTTTGTAAGCGGCGGCCATGGACGGGACAAGTACCATAGGGAGGGCTGCCTGGCAGGGTGTTGCGGAACCCAGGCACGGCAAAGAGGGCCGAGATGTAGATGACTGGGTTGTCGGCCGCGCGGCGCTTCCAGATCACAGCGCAGCTAGTCGTGGAACACGTTGAGCCACCCGCATCACTAACACTAGAGTGTCGCACCTGCCGATGTACCCGATCGACACCGTGACGGCCCAAATCCCGGCAAACACGAGCGCCGTGTACACGTTGAATTGGCGCTTGATCTCGACCGTGATCGAGTACACGCCGGGGGCGACCGCTGTGTCGCCATACGTCTCCTTTATGCGGTAGTTCCAGTCAAAGTTGGACGGCGTGACGATGACGAAGCTGACGTCGACGGGGTCTTGGGGCTGGCCGTTGAACGGACTCATGCTCGTATTGACCAGCACAAACATCCTGACTTCGTACATGTCGAACGGGTACCAGGCCATGGAGCCCTTCTGGAGCGGTAGCTTCGAGTCGAGCGGCGCGTAC